TCATAATCGTGTTTCTAGGTTTCGAAATATACTACCCCTAAAATATTTGCAGATATTTAAGACTCACCCGTATAGAAAATAATGTTCTTACATTTCAGTGGCGGTTCGTGGTTATTATTGTAGGGAGGTCAATATCTAAAATTACTGCGTCGATTTTTTTTAAGAGGCGACCAAATTTAATTTGTTTCTTACAAGGTACTTGTACGTTTAGTCAAAGCCTTGTCAGAGGAAAATAAATCTAAAAATAAATACAAATTATGTTAAAATGAAATCTTTCTTTTCCATGGTAGTACCTATTTAAAAGACACTTGAATAATAATGTCACAAAAATATAAATACAATACACACATTTCTAAAAGTTTTATTTGACATTTTTTTATATTTTAAATTAATTCTTTCTCTAAACGTTTTTCGAAATTTAGGCAATTATTGTTTTCTTTTAACGACACGATTTGACAAACTAAACGCTATATGTTTATGAAGATTCAATATTACAAATTACAATAATGACACGCTGGTTTCTAGACAAAGGCAAAAACGCCACTTTTTATATCGTTTGTCGTTTGTGTAAGTTTATATAAAGTTGCCTACCTTACAAATCCTTTTATGAATGACGCGGTCAATGCAGTGGCGTAGCTAGGTAACCAAAGGCCCTGGTGCAAATTAAAAAATGGGGCCCCACTGCTATTGGTTTAGGTTGACTGATTAGATTTTATCAAATAAATATGAAATACACAAATACTTTAAAAATGCTAAGCTACTTAAGCTCTTTTTTGTGCACTGCAGGACAGGTAATAAAAATATTAAACATTAACAACATAAATTTTAATTAATACTTGGTGTAGGTTTGGCTAATAAAACGAAATAGAGAAGATTCAAGGGTTTATTATATAAAGATTGGGCCTATCAATTGACTAAATAACAATTATATTTATAATTTTTCCCCAGCTTTAGTTTTCGCAAAAGTATCAATGACTTCGTTTAAATCCAGGCTTGATGCGGTTTTGTTTTCAATTGCTATTAGCGATAAATATCGGAGTCGAGTTGGGCCCATATTATTTCTTAAATAATTTTTTATTATTTTTAATTTGCTAAATGACCTTTCAACTCCTGCACAAGTGACAGGAATTGTAAAGAATAATAACATTGCTGTAAATACGTCCGTTAGGTCGCATTCCAGCACTCCATATTTGTTCAATATTTCCTTACAAAATTGGTGAACAGTCCATGCTTGAGTTAGTTGAGGTAAAACTATGTGGTAAATATTAGTAAATTGAAGTGAAAAACTAGAGCCTATTATATCTGAACATTTTCTGTGGAATTCGTCACACTTTTGTAATAAGTTGCTTCATCAACATGTAATAAAAATGTTGGTATTAGAAAATCGAATATATGACAGACTGCACTCATACCAATAAAACGTGTATATAGTTGAGATATTATTGTGTCTAGTACATTATTGAAAATGTCAATTTTAAATATTTTTCTCGGTTTGGAAATCGGTGATCAGCGCTAATTCATCAAAATGTTTTTTAACTTTTCTGTGCCTTTTTTCTTGAAAATGGGTATCAATACCATATTTTCTTGCAGTTTCACTGGCTTTGCACTTGAATAGTTCGAAATAATTTCTATAAATTTGCAACTTTGCTTTGGTATCTGCTAAAACTTTACTCGCTTCGCCCAAATTGATGTCGCATTTTTGTAAAGTTTTGGATGCATAATTGATGTCGTTCAATACACTGTGCATGAATTCGCAAAGCAACACAAACTCGAAATTTAGTATTTTTGTTCTAATACTCTCTGCTACACTACGCTCATCTTTATCAGGACTCTTTAGAATTATTTCTGATAATGCTTTGATAATATTGCAGGTGACTTGCATTTTTTCACGATATTTCGCGTTATACAATGAGCTGTAGCCGAAATCTATAGATTTGACACGATTTATTGACTTAACGGACATATATGAGTGGTAAAATCAAATAAAATTGAATCACTATATTAACCAGTACAATAAAATTTATTGATTTACTTACTCCTAATACATCATTAATTTTTTAACCGTTCTCGAAAAAAATTATAACTCGAATTCACAATAAAACGCACATCGATGAATAATAAAACGCACTTGACAGCACTGCAATTGACAACACTGCCAACCTACAAAAAAAATTTAGGGGAATTCCCTAGGAATAACTTTTGAATTTCTCTCAACTGAGTTGTCATGATTAAAGGGAGGTTGCAACCTGTCATATTTATTTTGAAAATGGGAGAAATTTCCAAAAGTTCAGTTCGATCGAGATTTCTGGTAAGGATTCGAGGGCCCCTGAGCTTGAGGGCCCCGGGGCACTGCCCCGCCTAGCCCCTAGGTAGCTACGCCACTGGGTCAATGGTCAATATAAACTATACATATTTATCGTACCTTAACCCTTTATATTTTCTATACGTAGTACACCTTACTTTGTTGGCGTCACGAGCCGCGACCTTGGAGTTTAAAGCCCCGTTCTCAGAACAACGTCGCGTCGTGTCGCTGTTCTGAGAAGAGGGCTTAATACGTGTAAAAACATAACAACACATTTTGCAAATAACAACATTTTCCAGTGGCGTCGTGAGGGTAGAGCAATTTGATAACAGAATTCGACTCTCCTCTAGTCCCAAGATATTTAAAATCATAGAAATATTAACGAAACACGATTCAATTTAGGAGCCGTTCCAAAACCAAATCGAAATCATGTACCTAGTGCCAATGGCTGCGGAGCATTAGGGTGTCAAGATCAACAGCGATTATTTACCATTCGGGGCCATGGAAAAATGCTGTAATGCACACGACATATGCTACGACACGTGCAACAAAGATAAGGAAGTATGCGATGTGGATTTTAAACGATGCCTCTACAAGCATTGTGATGCTTATGCAGAAAATGTTGGAGGCCAAACAATGACAAAAGGTAATAAAAGCGGCATTGTTTATTGAAGAAGTCTGTTTTTTTGTGCCATTAAATTTTGTTTATTTATCAATTCTGTATGTTGTATTTTATGTCTAAACAATGTTTTATTTCTTGTTGTTAAGAGTCTGTTACGCTGTACTGTTCGGGTCGCTCTCAGGGGTCGTGTAAAGCGGGTGTGTGGCCGAAGGAAATATATATTATATTTTATAAATCTGCCTAAGGCTTAGCCCGATCCTGTCGTGTTAAGCCACACCCAAAATTCCAAACACACGTGCTTTGATTAAGGCTTGATTAAGGTTTGCAGAGCTTCAGAATTTTCCATAAAATAGCTAGCAATTTGTTACACAACCATATAAATTATATGCATTAGCGTAACTAGCAATTTATCCTGGGGTGGGCCTGGGGGTGCCTGGGGTTGAGCCCGGGGGGCTAGGTCTTTTGTTTTTTTTTAAAAATGAAAATTAATTTTAAAAAACACATTTTTTTGAATAAAACGTTTACATTAATTTTTCTATCAATAAATTTCATAAACTTGGTTATCAAACCATGTTCCCGTAGATTACTTAAATACATTACATACATATAAATACCTACAAATTTTTTGAAAAAAAAATTAACACATTTTTTGAAGAATACAACAAAATAATAATAACTAAACAAAACTAGAAAACGTCATTTTTACTACATCACAAGCAAATAAAAAGTAATATGTAGCCAAAAGTCATAAAATTCAATATTTCTGTGGAGGGTGCCCAGCAGTACCTTGGGGGGGGGGGCGGCTCACCCTGGCATCCCTATAGTTACGCCAATGATTATATGTCACTGTCAGAGAGAACACTAATAACTAAATGAGAGAGACCGATCAACGTTAATTTTTGAAGACTGTGTTAGTGGCGCGGCCTTTGGCGTCTAACCCGAACTATGAGCGCATTATCGATATAGTAGGTTGCATTCATACCTATATACTGGCGCCAAAAATTTAAAATTTGTATATTTGAACCGAATCTTAATCTTTCAAGTTTATAATAAGAAATCTTCGTAGTTTTTTAGATTATTTTGTTGACAACGAAAATTTATAATTAGACTTTAAAGCATTAAAACCTATAAATAAAATACTGTGTAGGAACATAATAATTTATTTAACTCCATATTCCTTGCCATACTCAACTCAAGGCTGCAATCTTCAGTATCTTTTTTTATCTAACTTGGTTGGGAGTGAACAGGGAAGCACGGTTGGGAGTTCGCACAGAGTATCAGTAGGTATCCCGTAGGTATTCAATGTTTTTGATAGTCTTACAAGAACCTAGCAGTTGAAGAAAATAATTTGTATTACTGGAAATAATACCAGGTATAATACCTAGTCGTTCCATAGGTATCAGAAAAGAATGTGATGTTTTAAATTAAAAAAATTAAATTAGCAATGTACGATTATTATGTACACTCACTATTACTATTAGGTTGTTAAAATAATTACCGAGATAAAACTTACCTTTAAAGGAAACGTTTTGTCTGGGTCTCAACCACAAAACAATTACAAAAATGCTGAATAATCGTGGAATCTGAAATAATCAATAATGACAATAATCTTCTCTTCTGACAAGCTAAAAGAATAGGCACATTCGGTTAAAAACAATTTATTACTCCGATTTACTCCAATTATCAACATATTTTAGTTATCTCCTTCTAGAACTAAGAAATAGAAAAAGCTACTGACAATCTGATTAATCCTGTCAAATGTTTAACTTGCAAAGTTGAAAACTTCCTTTTTTGACCGCCTAAACGCTATGCGCGTCTGGGATGCGCGGTGACAAAATAAACTTGTCTACGAAATGCCCTATTCCACAAGCCCTCTCACTTTAATTATTAGTTTCTCTCTGGTCACTGTAATCACAAAACTTTAATCTATATATTTTCGTATTGTAAGGAAATTTTAAATTATGTCTTTATTTTTGAGAAAATTTAGTCCAAATGTAAGGAATATTTTGTTGATGTTGGACCTTCAAAATCTAAAAAATAAAGAAGTTTTCTAAAAATGTGCTACAATACGGATATAGTATAATGCTATATCTTTAATTTCCTTCTTCATGGTTGGGAGTGAACAGGGAAGCACGGTTGGGAGCTCGCACAGAGTATCAGTAGGTATCCCGTAGGTATTCAATGTTTTTGATAGTCTTAATTCTATAACAAGAACCTAGCAGTTGAAGAAAATAATTTGTATTACTGGAAATAATACCAGGTATAATACCTAGTCGTTCCATAGGTATCAGAAAAGAATGTGATGTTTTAAATTAAAAAAATTAAATTAGCAATGTACGATTATTATGTGCACTCACTATTACTTGCTTATATTAATTAATATTAAAATTAATTTAGATATTTATGTTATTTCAGCATGCAAAGGTGCAGCAAAAATGTTGTTTACCGGTACGCTGACTTTAGGATGTAAAGCTTATATTGACGCACAGAGTAAAGCTTGTTATTGTCCCTCAAGTCCAGGCTGGAAGGATAAAAAGAACAGCAAATATACACCTGGTGGAGATAGAGGAGAACTTTAAAGAATAATTATTGTGATTTATTTTTGTTTTGGTGTTGTGTTTTGTAGTTAGGTATAGTATTAGAATCATACAATTTTTCCCATCGAGAGTTTTTTTTTTCGAAAAATTCGACATAGTGAGAATAAGTTAATTTGTTATCAAATAAAAGATGGTGCGTTCAAGCTTACCAGGGCCAGTAACGGCTGCGGGTTAAAGGAATTGCAGTCAACCTTGGATTAAAAATTCATATCCATGCCTACTGTAACCTCATTTATTCCACTTTTTATTTATTTATCAGTAATAATGCATGTTAATTTGTTTTTATAAATTATTTTTAAAATTCTTCATTTAATCACCAAACCTCAGAGATCAGGGATTTGCTCAATATAGTCTTCCATTTTTGTTACTTTTTTAAGATTTTTAAGAAATTTTTGTGTTCAGTTATATTTTCTTGGTAAAAAATACTATAATTTTTTTATTTGCATTTTAGTTTAGATTTGTTTTATTACCTATTAATCTTATACCCAATTTGTTTTAGTTTATTTCATGATAAATTTGCAAGGCAATTAAGTAAAGACATAATAAAAATTAGATATGATGTATATGTTACTTGATTACGGTCTAAATAACTAGTAGTAATGTTTAAAAGCAAACATATTTATTTTTGTACCATCAAGCAATTCTTTATTCTTTAAATAGAAAATACTTTGTAGGTTTTTGATGTGTGATTTTCTCGATTTGGGTTAATATGTAGTATTTTTAGTTACCACTTGTGTGATATTTATGTATTTTTTGGTGGATTTTGATGATAATTGTGTTGTTAATTATATGTAAATAAAGTTATTGATTTCTTTAATTGTTTTATTATGAAGATTAAAGAACATAAAATCGGTATCAATGTATAAAAGCATTTCTTAATAAAAAAATAGCACTTCTAGCTAGTCTTTAATAGAAAATCTTTGGTTGATTCTGTGGATTCAGTAAACATTGAGAAGAACTGGAGTCAGTACTTTTTATTACTTAAATGTAGGTTGAAGTCAAGTTGATTCTATCATCTACAGCAGTCGTGCGTCATGCTTTTGAGCATTGTTGGTTCCTCAGATAGGTGTGGTCAGTACTAACTTTTGCTAAGCAGAATAGTATATAATGGTGCACAGCTCCTTCACATCCTTCGATAAACTCTAGATACTGACTTAGAGACACGGAATTTAGATATACTCACACTAATTTAACGCTAGAAATTGATAAAATTTCCTTTTTTTATAGTAAACTCTATTTACTCTATACAGGGTGGGCCACTGAAAACTTACAATAGCTATAATTTTTAAACCAAAAAAGATATAAAAAAAAATAAAAAATACCGTTTCTATAATATCGAGGGGGAATACATATGACGTATTTTTTGAACCACCCCGACCTACCCCTTTAGGCGGCACCCCTACTCATTTGAAAATCTAAAATGGCAACACCACACTTGTGGCGCCTTTTTGGAAAACCCATGAAAAATGCTAAACGATGATCATAAAGTTTTTTGGGGTGAAATCGAAAAACTACCCCTTACACGAAAAATTAGCTGGACATTAATGAAAAAAGTAATTTTTTCAGCATAAGTTACAAATTGGGACCCAGCTAAATGAGGCAAATGAGGCATTTTTCAAACCACCCCACCCACCCCTAGGTGCCACCCCCTTACTTCTAATCTCATCAATGCCATTTTGAAACCATTGCCATTTTGAAGCTAAAAATAAAAAATGTAGATAATAAAGCCTAAAATCTACAGCCTAATTTTGGGATAACGCAAATATTCTTCCTTATCATCTATTTTTTTACTTTCAACAAACAGGAATCTTAAAACGGCATATCTTTGCGTTTTTGCACAGTCTTCTATCGATTTTCAATCATGCAATTTGCAAATTTGGTGGTATTTTAAACCTTTATTTAATTCGCTTATTTGAAAGAAAAATGGTTTATACTGTGGAAGAAAGAATTCAAATAGTTTTTCTTTATGGTGCTGAAGGTATGTGCTATTTGAGAACGGCCCGTGCTTTCAATGAGAGAAATCCGGACAAAAACGTAAGTCACGTTTATGTTAGAGATTTGATTCTAAAGTTTCAAGAAACTGGATCGGTCAAAAATAAAAAAAGGACAGGGCTCAGGGTACTGATTGAATAAATGCAGATGGAAGTTATCAAGGATGGTCAGGTATCGGTCAATCCAGAAGCATCAACACGCCAGATGGTATCAATCACAGGTATACCTCGAATATCTATCAGAAGAGTATTGAAAATGCACAAATTCCATCCCTACAAAATGAAGATTCTGCAGGAACTTGGCGACGACGATCCAGATAGAAGCAGGATTCAGTTCTGTGAACTAATGACGGAGGAAATTCGAAGGGAACCTTCACTCGCTAAAAATATTTGTTTTAATGAGAGTGCTCATTTTTTTTAAACAGAAATGTGAATAAGCAGAACTGCAGATACTGGAGCGATGAAAATCCGCATATTGTTGTTGAAAGACACACCCAACATCCCCAAAAGCTCAATGTTTGGTTCGGAATACTAGGCGATAAAATTATAGGTCCATTTTTCATCGACGGAAATTTGACTGGTGATGCTTATGTGGAAATGCTGAACATTTTGATAGAGCCAGCCATAGTAAATGAGGTTGAAAATCAAAGAGATTTGGAAGGAAATTTAACTCTTAATGAAGACCTTATACACTTTCAGCAAGATGGAGCCCCACCGCATTATTCTATTGTCACAAGGCGATGGTTGGATAGATATTATCCAAGGCAATGGATTGGCAGAAGGGGTCCAATCGAGTGGCCGCCAAGGTCACCTGATCCCACTCCTTTAGACGTTTTCTTGTGGGGTTACACTAAATCCATAGTCTACAAGACAAAACCAGGTCGTTGCAAGAATTGCGGCAGAGGATATCTGAAGCATGTCGAAATATTCCGAGAGAGACTTTCCAAAAAGTGAGAGAAGATTTTGAAAATCGTTTGTATTTTTGTATGGAATAAAACGGCTGTCATTTTGAGCAATTGTTAAAATAAATTATCATTTTAAATTTCTTTCAAATTGTCACACCTACATTTCTTATCACTACTTACCAGTAATTAAGTTGAAGTCTGTATGACCATCGTTTAGCAATTTCAATTAGCTTTCCAAAGAAGTGTCACAAGAGAGGTATCGCTATCTTGAGATTAGAAGTGAGGGGTGGCACCTAGGTGTGGGTGGGGTGGTTTGAAAAATACCTAATTTGCCTCATTTAGCTGGGTCCCAATTTGTAACTTATGCTGAAAAAATCACTTTTTTCATTAATGTCCACCTAATGTTCCGTGTAAGGGGTAGTTTTTCAATTTCACCCTAAAAACTTTATGATCATCGTTTAGCATTTTTCATGGGCTTTCCAAAAAGGCGCCACAAGTGTGGTGTTGTCATTTGAGATTTTCAAGTGAGTAGGGGTGCCGCCTAAAGGGGTAGGTCGGGGTAGTTCAAAAAATACGTCATATTTATTCCCCCTCGATATTATAGAAACGGTATTTTTTATTTTTTTGATATCTTTTTTGGTTTAAAAATTATAGCCACTGTAAGTTTTCAGTGGCCCACCCTGTATATCTCATATATGAAAATATCTGTAATTTTATATACAGCAAAGTAAATGTATTAGTCTTATACATATATAGGTATGAGTGTGTAAAGTGTAAAATATGAAATATTAACTACTAACATTTATGGTTTAAAGTTTGCATAAATTTTTACACCATTCTGATTTTCAACCAATTGTATCCATTTTTGAAAATACGAAATTCTAGTGAACACTCTAGGACTGTTTCTATTGCTACAATGGGATTCGAATGATGCCATTCCAATGATTACGTTGTTCTGGACCAACGAACCGCCAGAATCGAAGTTGCAGTTGATATTTTCCAGATTGTAAGCGCAAATCATTGATTCATCGACTCTCTCATCTTTAATCAAAGTTTGACAACGATGGAATGAAATCAAGTTCACATTGGTGAAATATAATCTGTTGCTTGTTTGAGTTTTTCCTGTCATCCAACCTATTGTGGTCGCTGAGGTATCCTGAAGATATGCATATCTGTAAATAAGTAAGGCGTAATAAAAAAATGCCATTGTATAAAGAATTCGGTTATAACTTTATATCGTGTGTTGCATCGGAACACGGGACTTAGGAGATCCCATGTAAATTTTGAAAAGATCAAATATTATCTCCCCAGATAATTTTTTGCAAAAGTTGTATTACACTTATTTGAAGAGGCGATAAAGTTGTACTCTCGTCTAGAATTTCATTTAATTTGGAATAGGCATTTAAATGTCATTTTCAAAAATTTACCTTCAAATTACCAAAAAAATATAGTACGGCCCGGAGAAAACTACAATTAAAATACCAGCAAATATGTGATTTTGTCATTGTCAAATTCGATGTCACCTTTTGTTTACAACAATCTGTATGGTTTGGAAACCAAAGAAGTTTATGTATTATTACCTAAAACTGGCTAGAGTTCCTGGAGTTTCATAAATCTCTTTAAATGGCGATCCAACTTTAATGAGACAAACGTCATGCGAGAAACTTTTCAAACTGAAATTCCCATGGCGCATCAAATTCTCTACGGAGTGAGATTTTCCTTTCTTCCAATTATCAGCATTACTGACAATTTTTAATCGTTCAAACGAATAAACCTTGACTGTCTCGCAACACCTTGCTGACGTTAAAACCCAGAATCTACTGATTATTACTGTACCTGAAGTATTCAGTTTATTAATGTATAGAATAAAAAATTAAAAAATATGTTTTTCTCACCACAAATAAGCACCATGGTACCAGATTTCAATAGTACCAGCGCTGCCATGAATTTAGGAGTTTCCCTGCGGTTCTTTGCGTCAACCAATGAGGAGAATTTGCTTTGCAAAGCGCTGGATTTAAAGATTCTGTCATTAAAGTCTTCACCGCACCTTTTTCTGGATTCCATAATCATGAAGACTAGCAAAATTAGATTTGCCAAAGACACAACTAGCAATGTTGTCATAGAGAAACACGCTACTGCAGATATTCCGTCACCCATCGTGTAGGGCTGAGGTGACACAAAATGTAAACTGTCCATATATTGCGGCAGGTAATACTTTCTGTTTTTTCTTTCGAAATAATTGGAGTTTGATGAACTCTAACTAGATGCGTGTTTTAAAACATATTTCCAGATATGTCATTTCAAAATCATGCACGATAAATTATTGGTTTTTATTTCTGTGGGGATAATGAGTAAATTGTACCATATGATCGAAAAACCGGCGTCAAAGACGGCTAGAGAATGACAATTAACACTAATTGTAAAAAAAAATAAAAAAGAATAGAAAGTTTCCAGACACAAATCTATTTCCAAAAAAAAATTCCCGAATTATAAACTACACTATTTAAAAATTTACTTAATACATAAATAAATTACCTACAACTTTCTTAAGGCCATCTGGCAGTAAGCGCCATTAAAAATGAAAGAAGCGTACGCACCAAGTAAATGATGTTTAGGGCTTGACCACGTCAAAAATGTCATCGATTGTCATTCCTCAGCTGTCTTTGACAGCTTTTTTTC